TTTTTTTTAATAATATTGTTTGTTCTTGTTTTATATTGTTTTTTTTTTTTTATAATAAAGAAAAAAAAAAAACAATATAAAACAAGATTTTTTAATTTTTTTATTTCTAAAGCTAATAAAAATTATGACTGGTGTGGTCTCGTGCTAGAAGAAATGGAAATTGGAACATTTTTTATTTATCATAAAGGCATTTATATACACTTGTAGCGAAAAAAAATCGGACCACTCATACTTTTTATAAATAACTACTTATAAAAACAAAATTGGCGCGCTGGCAACACACTAAACAATCACGTGTGGCGTGGCTAATACATATATTAAAATTAAGTTTAATTTGTTAAAGGTGCGTAACTGTTCATCATATAGCTCAGAGCATCAAGTCAACAGATGGCATCTGTTTGACTTGATGCTCTGAATCCGATTCAGGAAAATTTTATGAAAGACCAGGAATTACCATTTTAAAGCCCAAAACATGATACACTGTTTAGCTGTGATGAATATTCAGATTTATAGCTCATAAGTTCTTACTCAATTTTATCCTAGTGCCTTGAAAGGAACTTTTATATTCGATCAATCGGACTGCATTAAAATTATGCCTTTTTCTAAAAATACTTGCTTTAAATGTTATAAAAAAACACAAGAAACATAAGGTTAAAATGTGGCAACTTTTAAATGTTAAAATGACGGTTAAAATTTGGCGACGTATCACATTTTAAGACAAAGCGCAAGCAGCTGGCAGCACACAAATTCGATGCTTGCTGACCACTGAATTCAACCCCAATACGTTGCAACTTCTGTTTAACGATTTTCGCAATTCTGATATGGGGAAACAATAGTTTACCTCGCTAGAGCTGGTTTACTCCTTTCATAAATGTCAAAAACCTTCGGTTGTTTGTATATATTATCATTATTAAAGCAAAAACACGATGTTAACCGGAGATTTTCGATATTGTGACAAATGTTTTACTCTCCGTAAAAATAAAGTTATCTCAAAACAATAATGGTAGCAGAATTTCTATTTTTCGAACCAGATTAAAAAAAAAAAAAAATTTAAATCGTCGAAGCATCTTTTTTAAAAAATGTTTCCAAAATTAGACTTAGGAGTTTTTCACTTTTAAATAGAGCTCTGACGAAGTTAGCGCGGTTGGAAATAGCACTTGGAAAACGAGCGCAAAGTTTACAAAGAAAGTTTATTTGCCGAACGGCTACTGTAACAATAAATTTTTTACCAAATTGTTTGTAACAAAGTGTTATAGTCAGTATCATAACATTTTAAAATTTTATTTGTTAAAATTATAATAAAAAAATAACAGTTTATTTAAAAACAAAGACCTCCAAAGCAGTCTCTTATGGGACAGTCACTTAGTTGTGAAATAGACTAAATTTCTTAATGCTGAAAATCTATTAATGCCAATCGCGTGTAAAATGCGTACACAAATTTTTATGAATAAATGTAGACTTTCATGTTATATACTTTTAAAATGGCCATTCTGCTGGTTGCCGTTAATAAGTTTAGTGCACAAAGCATATTTGCTGTACAAATGACACATAGCAGTACGCTTTACAAATGACACATAGCAGTTAGTCCATTTTTTAATATCTAAAAAATCATTTACTAAATGAAAAGTTCGAAACAATTGTGATGTAGTTACAGTAACTGACAATGCTTCCAATATGGATGGTGATGATGTGATGCTTCTAATAACGATTGGGCTTGTAAAGAAGTTGGATTTTAATGTTTAAGTTAAATCGTTTAAAGTAATAAAGATATAGTTTAAGATTTTTCTTGTTCTATTAGGCAAGGACTTTTTCCTAAAATACCTAAAAAAAGAAGGTGATTCCTATATTTAAAGAAGGAGATTCCTATATATAAATAGGAGGAGATTTAGCTTATGTTAGCAACTATCTTCCTATATTTATTTTATCGGTATTTTCAAAATTTTTGGAGAGAATTTTATATAACAGAACATAAATTATGTATTGTTAAGCAGTTTAAAATATAGCAATAAATATGGATTCAAAAAAAACAACTCAACAGAACACACAATTCTTCAGTTTGCTAGAGTATAACTAACTCTTAAAAATTCCAATATACAGTTGGGGTTTTTATCGAGCTTTTGATACAATTAATCACAAAATTCTTTTAAATAAACTAAAGATTTACGCAATAGCGGTAGTGTTTTAAAAAAGCCTAAAAAACAATTTGTCTACGTTGATCTAGTATCATCAGTAAGCTTTATCTATATAATTTGTGGAGTTCTTCAGAGATCAAAGTTAGGTCCTCTTCTCTTTTTTATTAACATCAACAATCTTCATAAAGCCTGGAAGTTAAAGACAATTATGTTTGCAGACGACCGAACTGATTTTTATCTTGCAATAATATTACATTACTATTTCATAATATGAATAAAGAACTAATAAAAGTTTCTGATTGGTTTAAAACAAATAAACAGTCTCTTAATTTTAAAATGGATTTTAAAATATGTTCATGGATTTTAAAATATGTTAATATATATTCATGGACAAAATGGATTTTTTTCAATCTCAATTACAAAAACAAATTTATACCACGTGACATGCTACCTCTTTTTATAAAAAAAGTAACAATTACCAAATTTCTTGATATTTTTGTTGACGAAAATCTGACTTGGAATTATAACACAAAATACCTGAGTAGTAAAATATCAAAAAAAGCATTTTAAATATAGCAAAGGGTTTTCTAAATAAGTACGCTTTACTTAAACTATATTATTCTTTCATCAATTGTCACATAAACTATGCAAACACTGTATGGGGTAATACTAATAAAAAAATAAACTCGATCCTCTTTATCGTTAACAGAAACATGTTGCGCGCCTCATTAATTTCAAGGATCGATTTACTAATGCCAAGTCTTTATTAATTGAAATAAAAGTTTTTAATATACATAACCTTAATATTTTTATTGTTATTTGCTTTATGTTTAAATGTAAAAACAATCTATCCCCTATACCTCTTAATTTGTGTACAAAAAAAAAAACTAACTACAATTTACGAATATATATATATATATATATATATATATATATATATATATATATATATATATATATATATATATATATATATATATATATATATATATATATATATAATCTGACTTAGCGAATGTCCGGATTAAGCGTACCTCTCGTTAAGTCGGGCTTTTTGAAAATGCCCGACTTATCGAGATTTTGAGACTTATTGAATGTTCTTAGATATATAAATATTATGCACATATATACATATATATATGGAACAATATAATCTTATGTGAAACATATTTTTGTATATATTATATATACTATGAACGAAAACTTTGTATATATAATATATACTATAAACAAAAAATGGTCCGAAATTGATGTTTGTTTCAGTGACTCGCACAATTCTTTTTTAAACAACTTTGAAGCATTTAAAGGTACTCTTCCAATTTTACCACTCTGAGGAAACTTTGAAAAATCAACAAGTTCATCGATTTCTTCACGATCTTCTTCAGTTGTTGGCTTTGTCACCGTTTCATCAGACTTTTATTTCTTTCTTTTTCTTGCATTTCTTCTTCAACTACCTCAATAATATCTTAAACAATTTCTTTATCTATCATCACTTCTACCATAACCGAAACGTCACCATCAATTGTTAACATATGTAGTTAAATTAGTTCGGTATTTTCACTTCAACGATTGTATTACTCCTTGATCCTTTGGCTGCAAACACGAAGTTGTGTAGGAAAAGTAGAAAGTGACTGAACAATGATTCTCAATATTTGGATGGGTAGTGCAATTATAAATAACCAATACTACCTTACGGCCTAATAATGCAAACTTTCTATGGTTTTTTCTGACCCACTCCTCAAATAGTTCAAAGGTCATCCAGGTCTTTTTTGCGCAAGGTATCTACATGGAGTGCTTTTAACTTTTTTAAAGCAACGGGGTTTGTTTAATTTCCCAATAACAAACATTAAACGTTTTTCTGCACACATGTTAGCTCAGCAAGCCCAGTTAGTCGTATCTTGCAAATCTTACCTACACTACATTTCTCACTTTTCAAATGCTTATAATACAAACCGAACTAATTTACATGGAGTATATCACTCGAGTTGTATAGAGACATAACTGTTGGCAAAATTGTTTTTAATTTTCAAAATCAGCGTAAATGTAATTAGCCATGGTTTAAGACTTTATTTGCTTTTCATTTTAACATAAAGTCGTTTTTACTTTAATTTTTTTTAGTTATTTGGATTTAATTTAAAGTAAAACCTTTTTATTTTCAAGAACCCTTATTATCCCACTGCTCTCGCTAATGTCTTATGGTTGGCGTTTTTTAGGGTAATTTTATACCAATTTTCAACTACATAAAGTATTCAAGTACAACTTTTGATTCTAAGATACTTAAAGAATAAAGGTTTTGAACAATAGTCTTTAAGTTAAAGGCTTTTATCATTTTGTTTAAGCAAGAGCATCCTTCATTTTGTTCATACATTCTTTTAAAATTTTTAGTTTTGCAAAGTTAAAAAAAATAATGAAAAATAAATAAACAGTTTTTTAACTTTTTAACAAACAAAGGTTTATTTTTCAGCTTCCACAAACTTCAGTTGAATGAGAAATTGTGTACAAATTGAATATAGGTTCTATTAAATCATTAGTTTTATTAAACTAGGAATGAGCCTTTGCGGAAAAAACGGTAAATACACTAAAAATATTTGACCGTACGGTCAAATATTTTTAGTGTATTTACCGTTTTTTCCGCAATACGTATTTACAATACGTATTGTAAATCAGATTATAATAACTAATAACACGTTCGAGCTCTTGCGTTACAAATGTTAGAAACAGTTGTTGAAACAAAAATGTTAAAAAAAATCAAAAACACTATAACTTTAACACAGCCCAGCAGGCACAGACGTTCTTAAGACTTCTATACAATCTCTTATAGACGTCATAAATTAGTAGGACGTCCTTACGACGTCCAACGAACGTTCTGTGCCACTTGGAGTGTAAGTTATAGAATGTTGTGAGTTTACATAAATAATGTTTTTGTATTTACCGTTTTTACCATAAAAACTTTATAATGATCAACAATCTATTAATTCTATAATTTTCTCTGATAAAAGACATACTATATTAAAGTATACACAAATATATATATATATAAATATATATATATATATATATATATATATATATATATATATATATATATATATATATATATTATTTTTAGTAGATATTAGAAATTAGATAAGTGTTTTTACTAAATTTTTATTGCTCTGTTCTTTAACAACATTTAACATTCTATTTGTAGAATACACTAACATAATATATATATATATATATATATATATATATATATATATATATATATATATATATATATATATATATATATATATATATATATATATATATATATATATATATATATATATATATTTATATATATATTTGTGTATATTTATATATATATTATTATTATTATTCTCTAACAGTTGTAATTAATTTAATTAATAGTTTAAATCTAAAATTTATTAATTTTAAAAACAAAAAATAATGAAAATCAAGTCGATTTTTTACGGTTTTTTAGTTGTTGTTTTATTTGCTATTATTCCATTTTGCCATTTTGCTTCAATAATTACCATGTCATGTTGTATGTAAATACGGAAATTCGAGATTTATTTTATTTGTGTATGTGTGTTTTAAAAGAAGTATTATTTGACTCTTTCGTTGATTCGTAACCAGTATTAAGCTTATTATGCAAAATATTTACATTTTATACTGGACCAATATTTTTTCAACATTGCAGTAATGCAAACATTATTGAACCAAAATGGCAGCAATAGTTTTTGATATTTACAATACCATTCATTGTGTTTTTACAATAATTTTTTTTTTTTTGCCCAACTGTTTTTTTTATAACAATCAAGTTTTTTTATTTTGAAGTACTGATAATAGTTTTAATGTAAATTATATTATTTAGTAAAATATAATAATTCGTCGAAATATAATACTTTCATATGACGCTTATAATATGCATTTCAAATAAAAATAAAAAACTAAAGAAATTTGTACTCGAATTCAGTAAGTAACATATCAGCAAATTTAGTATTCTCTTTCTGTCATCATTTAACTTTTTTTTATTTATTTGTATTTTGTATTTGTTTATTATGTTTCTATATTTTTATTTAAAATACTTATTAAAATACTAATATGTATTTTTGATTTTTAGTATTGATGTTTTCGAGTACCTTAATACCGGACGTGTAGTACACATAATCAAGCCTGTTTACTTTTTTAAGTGAATAATTTTTAAATATCATTTAGGACACCTTTTTAAAAAAATTGTTGTTCATTTTTTTTAGCAACATCAAGGTGCCCGTCTTTGCAAGCATAACTTGCAAAGACAGGCACCTTGATATTGCTAAATGGATGCTCAACGGGCATTATATACTTTGGAATAAAAAGTTTCCCAATAAGGATATCAAGGATTGCCCTCTTGAGAGAGTGCAATCTTTCTACAAACAGTACCCGTCTCGGAAATGAGACGATAAAGAATGGAAAATGAAAGCTTTAAAAATCGATGTTGATTAAGGTCCTTATGATAATGTCGCTTTCTTTTGGACAAGCGCTGCGCATGGAATAGTACCAGGGAAAGATCCAGACCATCTAGTAATGGGACAATTTTTAGGTTTTTTTAAGTATGGTTGAATCAGAATATCCAGGAAGGAAGGATTGGGGAGGGGCAATTTCTCGATTCGGTGAATCCAGACTCAAATAAAGTAGGGGAGGGGGCAATTTTCAGGCTTAAATTATAAAACTTTTTTAATTAGTATTTTTAAAATATTATTTTTACACTGTTTAAATCTATGTAATTATGAAACTACAATTTAAGTCCAAACAGTCCCAATGTCCCAACAGCCCAATTTTGTTTTGCACCACACAAATTTATTAATATTTTGTACCACTTTTAAATAACCACCCTACTTCCATTTTCAAACAACACGCTTTGTTAAAGATATAAATTTATAAAAAATCCATGGACCGTTTCACCTTTGCTGCGGTCAATGATAATATGCTTCAAGACATAGCTATATGAGTGTGCTTGCCCATAGGAGTAAAAGTGCTTCTTTGAAGCAATTGATTTTCTTCATTGACTTCTAAGAAATGTCACCAAACATTTTTGCTTCTTCTGTTTATGGAACAGCATTTACAGGTATAGTGCCCTTAAAAAGACAAAAAATTTAAATATGCTTTGAAAAATTTGGTATAGTTTTTTTTTTTTTAATTTTTTAATTTTTATTTTGTCTAGAGCAATATGATTTTTTCCTGGTGGTTAAAAAAATTATTCAATTTTATTTTTACTATTTTGTTTGTACTTGAAAATTGTATATTTTTGGCTAAGTGCCCTTAAAAAGACAATTCTATTTTTTTTAATACCTCCTTAACAACTAACTCAATTATGGAGATATTTTGTAAGGTATTATCTGCCTGATATATGCATCTTATAATATAAAGAAATCTATAATTACTTTATTATTTTTCATAATAATTAGAAAAATCATGTTTTTTTAGCCAATTACTTCATTTCTTAATAAGCATGAAGAACATCATTTTCTTAAGTAATTTCAGTATTTTTATAATTTTTTCTTCTCTTTATGTCCTAAAGTTTACTTTAATTTAGTAACAATTTTTATAATAGTATAAATTTCTATTAACAGCTGCTTTGTTTAGTGCAACTTAAAAAAAAAAAAAAAGACTTTAAGATCAAATGATTTATTTGCTGGTTTTTTAGATTACAGTTTAATTTTACATAATAGTTTAAAATGCTTATTATTATAGAATAAAATAAAAAAGAAACCAAAATTTCTCTTAAGAGTAACATTCAATTCTGTAATAGAAAAGCCAAGAAATAAATCTGAAGCACGATGAAACTCCACAATTTGTTAACTGGTGTTAATGGTTCAGCAAGCGGTTTAGAATATGGTGGTTGTGGTAAAAGATATCAAAAAATGATTCGGCAAAATCGTGAATGTGTTACAATAAATCCAATGGTGTCGTTATTAGGTATACCAAAACACATTTCAAACTTTAAACTTTGTTTTTAACTAATTAATATATATTTATTATATTTTGTATTCTATATAACACCCTGATTTACTATAAACGCTTATTAGTAAAAGTGGATTTTATAAAAGTTAACAAATTTGAAAATTTAAAACAACACGTGTGTTTTATTACTAAAAAATTCAAATTTTCTATGCTTATTTTATTATTTAGGTGAAAAATGCATCTCCCATGTAATATTTGGTACTCAAAAAATTACTTGTTAGATGGCTCCACTGAGTGCTGTTTAAAATATTCCTAACTTATTAGTTTCAACAACTGAGAATGGATCATAAGATCACAAATAAGATCACAAATCCTTACTTGCATTTTATAAATTATTTGATCGACACTTGATTGAAAAAGAAATACTTCGCCCTGTTGTTGTACTAAGCGATGGTCACAGTTCTCGCTTCCATATACCTTACTTCAATTTCTTAGAGAGAAAGAAACACATTTATTTATTTCACCTCCAGACACTACTGGGGTAACACAACTACTTGATCAAATTAATAAGGCACCTCACGAACACTATGCAAATGCAAAAGAAAATCTGTTCAACTAACATCAAACAATTAATAGAGAAGCCTTTATGTTGTCTCGCAAGTATGTGGGACAAGTGGGCCACACAAGAATCAATAAAAATAGCTGGAAAAAAAGTTGGTATTACTAATGAAAGTTTAAATATTGCATTTATGCAAAATTATAAATTTCAACAAGCTTCTATACAAGCAGAGGAAGTTAAAAAAAACAGTTCTATGATAGAAACACCTCAGCAACAGACAACATTATGTTTACTAGCCGCTTCACCTAACGTTACTGATATTTCTACAATTCTAAATAGCAAATTAAGTTCTCCTATATCAATAAAACGAAAAGATAGCCAAATATATTGGAGAGAAAAAGCTTCAAACTGGAAAGACAAATGTTTGTCATTGCAGGCCATGATCACAGACTTAGATGAAAAAAGCATAAATCTTAATGACATACCAGGTCTTTTGACAATCCAAAAAGCAAAATCAACTCAAAGTATTATTATGCATAAAGAAACTACAAGAGTAACTCAAGTCCATGGCTCCATGCAAAGTCAAGATGTGCTAAAACTTGTAGAATCTATTAACAATTCAAAGGAAAAAAAAGTGCAAGACAAAGAAGATAGAGAAAGAAAATAAAATGAAGAAACTGAGTTTTTCTATAGATGCAAGGAAAGATGCATTTCAGACAATGGCATTTGTGAAGTTGCTAAGCTAAAATAATGTCCCATGTGTCGAATGTGTTTTCATATAACAACTCAATAGAAAGATTTAAAATTGGGTGGAAAAATCTATTTATATAGCTTGTATTTTAAAAAAACAATTATTTTTTTTATATTGTAAACGTGTTTTATACGCATAAGTTTTTTTAAATAAAATATTACGGTTAGAGTTATTGCTAATGGGTGGTTTTTTGCTAAGAGGTGTATCTTTTTAAGAAAATTTTTTTTGCAATACTTGTTTATTTTAGGAGCCTTCAAAAAAAAAGATGTCTGAAATTTGAAAACATTTATTAAATTCAACAAAGATTGAAAATAATGTTTAGTGAAAATAATGTCGGTCAACTTTTAAAACAAAACAAGCAACAACAGCATAACTTTATCATTTAGAAAAAGTAGAAAAAATAAGTGACGGGAATTTCTCGCCATACTTCATTGTCAGGATCAAACTTATGTTCAAATTTAAACCCTAACCCAAGACAACTTTCAATTGTTGCCAGTTTTTCCAAGAAAGATTCTTCTGATCTTGTATTGGCTTAAATGGTTGCTGCTAATCTTATTCCCATTTATAAGTTCAAGGTCTTAAAAATTCCAAGTTCAAGGCAAGCTATAAGTTCAATGTTTTTGGAATACCTAGCAAAATTTAAAAAAAAGTTGGTTCATGTTTTGTCAAAAATAGTTGAGAATAGTGACAGGTTTCATTGACTCTAGATGAATGGACTTCCTATAGTTACCAAAAATATACTTGTCTAAATTTACACATGTCAGATAACTGTTCAATGCCTTAAAATGATAAGGTTTGTGGGCTCAATGAAGGCTGAAGATGGTCTTAAATGGATCCAAACAAAGCTTTTGAGTTAAACCCTATTAACCATATTTTTGGAATGGTTGCAGATGGAGCCAGGGTAATGAAAAAACCGGAAGATTGTCTCAAATATCTCATCAACTATGTTTTCTCACTTGGCAGTAGTTGATGCAATTTATAAAAAAGCAAATGAACAGTAGAAGATAAAAAATTCTTGTTGTGACAACTTAGATAAGGATACTGAAGAAGTTGATGATTGGGAAGAACTACAACTTAGCAAAGAAGCTGTTAAGTTACATAAGCTTGATAGAATTTAAACCATTATCCAAAAAATTTGAATGATTGTAAAGTTTATTAATCGTTCACATCTAAAAAATGACGGTCTTCAATGCTGTTGTCTTCATCAGTTTGGAAAAAGTTGGCTTTAGTTTTTGATACAAAAACACGTTGAAACTCAATGTTTAAAATGATTTTAAGATACTTTAAAATTGGACTAAAAGTTAGAAAAACATAGGAGCATTTTAAATCATTGAAATACTACCAACCGATAAGATTAGATTAAAATGATAATGAGATTAAACTGATAATGAGATTAAAATGGGTAGACATTTAGGAGATTGTTTAGAAATTATTGAAGCTGGTGCTGACGTTCTTTGTAAAAGAGATATTACTCTTTTTGGAGCTGAAAAAACTTGTGAACTTATTTAAACAAATTTAAAAGACCAAGATACAACAAATTATTTTCTTTTTTATTTAGAGTCTATGGTAAAAACAATTTCCGAAAGAATAAATATTTGAATTGCAGGACTTTTAAGTCTTTGAATTGCAAGACTTTTAGAGGATCCAAATCAGTATGATCAAGCTAAAAAAGATTTTATTTAAGAATATCATGAGAAAAAAGAACCTAAAATTCAAATTTAATGATGAACAAGGCTTCCTTTAATGTTTTGGACAGTATAAAAAAAAAATGGTGAAGAAATTTGAAGGATCAAAAAAAAAAAGGAAAAAATTGCTTAAAATTAATTAAGTAATTTTTTCCTTTTGCAAACTGAAAACCTATGCATGCTATGAATTATTATGATAAAAAACTATTGCTTTATGACTGAAACTTTTGCAAAAACTCAAAATTTTTAAAACGTTTGCCATCTTGCCCTGTTTAATATTTTCCAATCGTTAGATAGCTAGATTATAATCAAAGTAATTTTCAGAATAAATATGCAAGTATTTTTTTAGAAAAATTAAAATTTAAAATGAAACATCAAAGTTCTTTGATGAAAATTTGTAGTCTAGTGTAACTAATATTTAATAAGTATATATTTTTTTTTAATAAGTACAATTTTTTTATTCATGGTAAATAAAAACTTTTACGAAACACACACTCCTACACAATTTTTACCATTTTTGTTTATGGTTGATTAACTTATTTATTTTTATAACTAATCAATATATATAAATACATGTATTGCCCTTTGAACGATAAGGCTCCGAAGGTGCCCCTCGAGATGATCCTGCAGGGAGAGAATTTTTAGGGCGGGGCAATTTAAGAGGCCTTTCTCCTTTCCAGCTAGGGGTCAGGGTAAGGACTATAAGCTCTTTCAGCGGAGTCTGGGGGTCTTGGAAACTTAAAATCGTGCTCAGGTATACCTTATAATATACTTAAGTATATCTTATACTCAAAGGTATTATTATGATACTATTGAAATCTTGTTAACCTGATCAAACACAAATGCAATTTTATTTTTTAAATTTTACATAAATTTTCTTAAAATATGGAGACTCCTGATTGACTCTGGTTGATTCAATACTTAAAATAGCTAGAGAACCAAGTCTCTCTTGAACCATTAAAGCTCTTTTGGGACTTTTTGAATGCTTTAGCCTTAAAAATGACCATTCAGCACTGCAATTAGTAACCATTAAATTCAAAAGTACTTGCTCAACGTATTCGTGTTAATATTTGAAAAAATATTTTCAATTTTATCAGTTTTGATAATATTGTAAAAGGCAGAGTGACTTTTACAATATTATCAGATGGAGATTAGCTGTGGCAATTTTTTTAAAAGTACGTACAAAACTGCTACAACTCAGCTGTAGAGTTTTTGCCTAGATCCTCCGTGTAAAGTTCAACTAATATCTTGGTGTCTTAAACATAAATAATAATGAAAAAAAACAGTGAGATCTTGTTGAAAAGACATTATAATGGTATTAGCTGTGGCAGCATGTGCTAATAATTTTATAACATCCTGTTGATACAGAGAAATAGTATAAAGCAACTGTACAATGTAGAAAAAGTGCCATATCTAACAGTCAATTGCACTGCAACCAACTAAATTCAAAGAGTGGGCTGCACAACGAACATAGATAGTAAATTCGTTTTTTTTCCATAATCTTTGCTTTTGTAAAGTCCTAACATATTAGCTGAATCGTCATACAATTGACTTTTCCCAACAACTTGAACTACTCCATCAGTTGACTTACATCACATCAGGAAATCTTGAGTCTTTGCTTGAATGCATCCATTTTCTATTGTACCATGCGGGTAAGTGAACATTAGATTTCACCCATTCTCTCACAAATCGTGACCACGGAGCTAACAGATTTCGCACCTGGACATTCGGAAAACATAGTTTGCTCGGTACAAACTACCTCTTTCATTTCTTTCACTTTTTGATTAGGTCTTAAGCTACATTCTCTTAGCCTGGTTATCAAAAGCTTCCATTACTCGATCGGAAGAGTAATTTTACCTTTTGTATTTCATAGATGAGATTTAAACATCCTAGTTATTAACTTATCACCATCTATGCGTCCTAGTATGTACTTTTATTGACCATTTTCCTTTTACAGGCAAAATGCGTAACGACAATTATTTCGCTAGATTTACAGCGAAGCCCTTCTCCTCAAAGAACGTATTACACACGTTCATTAACACGTTCATTTCAACCCAGTTCTTCGCCAACAATACGTAGTCATCAGCAAAAGCCATGGAAGAATTGACTTGGCTAAATTTGTCTTTTTCTATTAAACGAGCCACTTGGTTAATTGCGCTTCATTTTCTTTCCGCAACTAGTTGAATTTCAATTCTGGACAAATATTCCATTAAATGTTTAGTGGTCAAGGTCAATGCCAGCAATAGATATACAATCAAGAATTCATGTTTTTTGATGACAGCAGTTCTTTCAGGGTTTTTAACAAATGTGTTGTATATAAAACTTTACATAATTTACATTATACCCTAAATTGAATTATGAGGTTTAAAGCAGTATTTAATATTTCATATAGTGTTTTATAAGATTTTGTCCAAATTGGTGTAAAAAAAAAGTATAAAAAAAAAATATCTCACCTATATGCTGCCCCTTTTGGTCTTCTGCCCTAAGCTTGTGCTTTATTTTGCTTATAGGTTAATCCAGAGCTCTAAATGTATATATATATATATATATATATATATATATATATATATATATATATATATATATATATATATATATATATATATATATATATATATAAACTTTACACTTTACTTAGAAATATCTATTGTTTTAGTAAAAGCTTTGACTCCATGAATCAATCTATATTTTTGGAAAGAAAAAAACACTGCCGTATAATAAAGCAAACTTTTTTCTAGTACAAAATCATACTGACCAAAAGCAGTATGTAAACAACCAGTATGGTACTGAGAAATTAATTAGAGTGACACAAAAATCAATCTACGTTCTTTTCATTTTTTTAAATTTATATAAACAATTTTTTGTAGCATAACTAAAAATTTAAATTCATTCATTTATGCGGATAATAGTAATAATTTACTTACGTCCAATAATGATATTAATCATTAATATGTAGATATGAATATAAAATTAAAGAAAGTTAATAATTGGTTCATACGATGCTTTGCAAAAACCACATTGATCGATGCCTGGTAACAAAAACACCCTAAAATTTTTGCCACTTAACTAAAACGGGCATCAAATTACTAAAACTTTATTTTCTTATGCTAAATTTAAACTCATCGACGAGTTTTAAATCTCATTCAAAAAAAAACGGTGGACATAATGAATGTTTCACTTATTTAGCATTAATTGGTCCCCCATTGATCAAACTCATCATTTTGTGACACATCAGTTACTACGATAAAATTAACTCTCATGAAAAAGTAGCTATCAAATAATTAAACAAATAGAACTTTAACTTGTCGGCAGTAACTAGTGCAATAATTGTGGTTTATATTCTTCTGGAGAACTGCCGTAGAGAGGTCATATATCAAGGTCCACATAGACAAGTTCAACTCACTAAAAAGCATCATAACCCGCTTTCACGGAACAAGAGTAAGTGTGTTTTTAGAA